CATGGTCAACACCATAATTTGCCTGATATTATCGATTGAAGATCGAATTCAGAATACAAAAACTGGTCAAAATCGATCATAATTTTCAAGTCAAAAAGGGGGATCCCCAAGCGTATCTATTCCCAAGTGCACTTCTCGATTGCTTGCGTTAAAAATGATATGGAATTTGACGAATTTTGAGCGATTTAAGTTTTGTGTGCATTTTTCGAGCTTAATGGTTCGATGAACTCAATAAACTTTACTCAAATTTGATAGTTCTTACCAAAAGCTGAAAGTTGATATGTCGACTTTTACCACTTTTTTTATGCACTCGGTATATCGACTATACACTGGCTTCTGCGAATGAAAGCTACAAAAGCACAATAACACGTAAGCACACAAGTGACGTCGTCAGCAGAAAAAGCCCTTGTTGCCCTAATCTAATCTTCATCATATTCGATTACAATCTGGTTACGTGCCCGTCTCGTGTCAACCCTGTCTCCCCTTCTCCTTCTCGTAAGTACCTTTTTAAGTTTGGTTCTCTGTACTTGCAGCTGCGTTCCCAACCTCTTTCTGATTGTCCAATGTGTGCAATAACAATGATAAGTGTTGAAGAGCAAATGATAGTCGGATTGCTACTTTTTAAATCCTTTCACAATTTTTCTTGTGTTTCCCATATTTTTTCTGCATTTAAGTTACCTATTTTTTAAATTAAGGAGCAATGGTTGTCTTCTGACAAATTTTCAAAAATACGCTTCTATATCAGTACAAGCAGGTTCACAGTGTCATTTTTGGTTTACACTGTCTTTGCTTTCATGCTTTTAATGCTTCAATCTTTCTTTCTGTCTGGAAATAATTTATTTTATATTGTATGTCTGGAGATACCTTAAACCCGAAGTATGACTGCATAAGCTTTGCTGGTTCTTTTGAGTAAAAACGAACGTATTCTCGCTCTTATGAATTAAAATCGAGTACGCAGGTTTGAGGTATTAAAATCGCCTGCAGAGCCGTTTTTTCTTATCGCTCAGTATATCGTTGACCGGTCACAAAACACGGCCGAGGTCCATTCATCTAAGTTAACCTGTCACCGAGTAGGCTATCTTGCATCTTTCACTTATCATCCTTTAGAACTACTCTTAGGGAGCAGACCTAGACTTTTGATACAATTTTTTTTGAAGGTGTTTTAACCTTTTTTTCAGATTTTGCCGTTTACATTTACGGTGGTCATATCAAGTAAAAGTTTGACATTTTTGTGCTTACTTGTCTCCTAATTTCTTTTGCAATTGTTAAATTGCACATTTACAATTGAACTCAATATATTCTTTTCCAGTTTTTTTCTTAAATTGATGGTTTTATTTTCTAGGGGGAGGGTATAGTTTGAACGTACCGCCGCTTGCAATTTCTTCTTTGAAAAGGGGAAGCACAGTTTTTTCATTTAAGCAATTGTTCTTTTCTGCAAACTTTTTCAGCCTAAACTTAAGCCAACCACATAATAGGCCCTTAAACCGTTCCATCTGTGACTTATAACGCAAAAAATTTTCGAAGATCCCAAACCAATAAATTGCTGGTTTATTCGCCAGTTGTGGTTTTCTTCTTGTTTATTTCATTAAACGTCTCTCAAATTTATTATGCGAAAGGTGAGAGCACCCAGACGTATGCCTTTTCGACTTTTGGTTTTATTTTTCGCCTCGTATGCCTTATATGGAAGAAAATTTATAATCGATGGTGTTATATGAATCATGCGGCATCGAACATATTATAACCTGGATTTACTGAGGTGCAATGTGAGGCACTAGTGGAAGTAATTGTCGCAAAACACACTCTTTAACGGCTAAAATAGGGTTAAATAATTATAATTACCCAGATGGGCGATGATCCTTATTACACAAGTACAACGTTCTTACATCAACCATCTGTTTTAGTCTTCTTAATAGTTTTTAAGCAAATGGGTCAGTGGTATATTATTATGCACACGCGGTATTTGCATCACCATAAATTTCGTTTTCAGTATGAATGAATTTCTGGACTTCAATGACGATTGCTGGTTAGCGAGACAGTTAAATTCTTAGATCCGGAAGTCTTTAAAATCCAAAGAATTGGGTACTTTTTTCGCAACTACAAGAACAGCAGCAAAAAACTTGAAGATGTTTTAAACGCTCTTGTTAAATATTTCGATTCTAAAGGGTGTTGCAGAAATACATTAAAACTGGCATAGGATAATAGAGTTGTAAGAATAGCCCATAGTTTTAACCATCTAGACAAACAACTGTTGAAAATTACTCCTGTGCAAGGCCGAGTCGTAAAATGTAGGTGAGCATATGTTGATTTTACTTTTGCATAATTGCCACTACTTATCTCATATTCATTCGATTTCATTTATGCATCTGTTTCGCAATGCAATGAATTATAATATGGGTTTTGTATTGTTTGTCTTAAAGCTATACTCAATATACAAATTGGTGCATTACCAATTACCTTTTATTGTTCCGAGAAAAATCGCATGCATTTATACATGCATCGTATAATTAATTAGCATGACTCTGTTATAGTTCTGTAAGATATAGATGCAAATCGAGTAGTTGATTGAAGGGAATTTTCTCTATCTCTCACCAGGCGAACGAATGATTGTCTTATTAGGGGATTATTTGCGGGCGATGGTAATTCTATGTCATCCTGGCAATAATTGCAAGAACAATACTTAAACTGAAACTTCCATTAAAAAGTCATCATTAAGCAGTCCAGCAGGAGAGCCGTCACAGTGAGATTTCAAATTTGACCCAGATTATCTTGAATTTACATTATATGCATATGTGAACTTCCGCCTACACGCGACTTGCCTTAATGATAAATTGCTCTTATTGGCAGCCTGTTGAATTTAAATTAATAACCAGTAACGTGATCTACACATTTAAATAATCGCTTTGCGGCCAATCTCGCCAAAGTTAAATTACTGGAAAAACCAGGAGAATTATGAAAAAAATTGTGCTTCTTGTTCGGCTCTCACTCAGGATGGTACGTGTGGTAATAAATACGTTAAGCTGCCATTTAGGATTTCGTCGCAGCCTTGCAATGCATGGCATGCACTCGGCATCGACTGAGACCGAACCATTCAACGATTTAACACAAAATTTTTCACGCTTTGCGAATTCCTCTCGCTTGTACCGGAGAACCAGTCGCGAGTGTATAAATATCCTCCATATATCAACCTGGTGTGCAATATTGTGATCGGACACATCAAGAGTTGATTCATTTATTGCAAAACTGGGTTTTTTATTGCTAAATCGATATTCTTAAACTAACGAAAAAGCTGAGCATGATCCAAAAATAACATCAGCAAGCACAGAGTTATCTTGTTAGAGCATGACAATGGTACCAAGCCGTCGTGATTCGTTTTCTCAAAAAAAAACTAAAATTAGAAAATGAACAAGATGAGTTGGCACTTTTGCAACACGCTTATGTAGAAAAATTTGCAATTTTATTTCCTCAATCATTTCAATTCGGCATTTTTATTACCTTTATGGTGCAGTCATCCAATGTGCAAATCTCCAACTTGCTCTGAAATCAGACCATTTTCAGGTCAACGATGTTACATAGTTGCATGTTTCAATCAGAATTAATCTGCAAACTACGTTAAAAAACGGTTTCATTTTTTCATAAAAGCGAACGTGCTTGACGCGCCTAGAAATAGAATAGTGATGCTTCCATTCATAGTGATAATTTTCATTTGTGATGTTGAAATTATGATGTCCATTAATAAGTAACAGCTTCTATTTTCGCTAGATTTACGATGAACCCGAAAGGTTACTCGTATGAAGGCATATTTATTTATTGAATTTATTAGCACTTACAACACAAGCGCAATAAATACTGTAGAAAGTTCGTTCACTTCCTAATAAGGAACGACCCATTGTTTAGTAAAAGTTCAGCAGGCCAGAATGAGATATACTCGCAGTTTGAATGAATGGCGCAGGAATTCTTTTTTGGGGATTTTTTAAGTTTAGTATCATGTTTGTGATATTAGCGGTAGGAATTATTTATCTTTAATTAAATTGCAATGGAATTTTCTCAATCTTCATTTAGTTCGGTGCAGCGGCTAAAGCTGAAGTTGCTGCTTGCTCCCGTTGGCGTTAGTTGATAGCATCATGCTGCTATCCATAAATGATGAGGAAGATCTATAAATGTTTCCAAATAACTGTTAGCTTCTTCACTGTTTTTTGCTACTTGAGGCTTATTGTTGCTTTTATTTGGGCTCCAAATTATTAGGTAAAATCCAAGCATTCAATTTCTGTGAATTAAAAACACCTTTGTTAATTCGACTGGCCTTGTACTGCTCACTTTGCACTAGCAGTTAATAATAGTAACGAACTGGAACTTCATTTTGAACCTGATGTTAAATGTCAATTGACGTGTCAATAAATTAAGTTGGCTTTAAATTGAACGCTATATGAGCAAGAGGTGCGTCAGAAAATAAAACGTGACTTCTTGTTGATTCCAGTTGATTTTTACATTAAAAACTTGACTTCAAACAGGTTTTTAATTTTTTTCATTATCGACGGTAGGTAACAGGAACATCCTTATTTTAATTTTTCGCCCCAAAGCTTCGGCAGAATATTTTTCACCTAATAATTTGTCCTGAGGTGTAATTTAATTATTTTAAAATCGAGCATTCGGTTAATTGCGGCTACCCGGTTGTCGCGTGCGGTTTCTAATATTTTTTGATTATATTTTTATTCTTAAAATTCGCGTTTTCTAGTCATTTTGTAATTTTATTTAAATTATTTTTAGCAATCAAATTAGTATTGTTCTGTTGTCTCTGATACTGTTTTTATTGTCTAATTAATAAGCACATTTAAAAAAATGGGTTAGATATTTTGTTTGTTTGTAATTTGTTGTTGATAATTAGTTTGAATTTTCATCCCATATTAATTTTTGCTCGTCCAATTTAAATAGTCAATTCAAATTTATCGTTTACAATACTCAATTTTTGAGTCAAACAACGTAAATAAATCAAACAAAAAATCTATTATTTGACATAATTTATATTTATCATTTTGTTGGGAAATACATCTTTGACGATAACACATCAACATATTTATTTATAAAAGGTGAGGTTTCACAGATCGTTTAATTATTTTACTTTTTACTTTAGATTAACATCTTAAGATAATTAAACATTACTTTATTATTTAAAGACAATATCCATGTATCCAAATATCACATATAGAAAATACGATAAGATTTTACAGCCTTGGGTGATTGAATTAGCACAGGGTGTCTGCAAAATTTACGAATATTTCGGTTCAACTTTTTTAGTATCAATTTAATTGTTTCGTTGCATATAGTAGGTATACGTAGTTCAAGTGTGTTGAAACTAAAAAAGTTTTCCTCGTAAAGATACAATACATTTAACGTATATTTTTAAAGGCATCACCTTAACAACTTTTTCAAATTAACAACGTTAAAAAAATACTGATTTGCTTTCGAATCGACGTCCAATCATTAAAAAGGCTTTCAATGAAAAATATGTGAAACATTTAAAAACTGTTGAATTCACTTGTAAGGCTTGTGTTGATGGCGAATTTGAAATGTTACATTAACAATAGAGGGTTTATTAACAATTTATTAAATTATATATGTACAAAACGTGTAGAAGTTAAATAAAATTTTATGTACAACTATATTACATTTCTCTACATGAAAGGGGTTATTTTTAATGTAATACACAATACTTTTAGTAACATTTAGGCCTTTAGGGTGGATCGCTTCCACTTAATAATAATAATAATAATTACAATAAAAGAAATATTTAGAAAATCTCTGACAGGATTTATTGCGCGACCAACAGATATGAGGCTATTGAACAGAAAATAAATTGGAAATCCTGCTAATAACTTGGTAACATTAAGTTCGATTCGGTTAAGAATTTAAATGTATACAAGACACATGCTTTAAGGCAATCGCGAAAAATTTCTATAGTTCTTGAGCTTTCATATTGACGATTTTGGTATTGACTACTACTTTGCCCCTACAAAACATCAAAATGGACTTTTCTTTATTATTAAATTAACACCCAATGAACCAATTTGATATCATGTAGTTCGTTACCGGCTGATATCAGATTTTTTCTAAACATAAAATAATCATTAAGAACCCTACGGAATGTATTAAGAACAGTGTTATTTGGCATTTAGACAACACGTTATTAACCCTAAAGAATTAATTAAAGCTTCGTTTTAGTTAAAGTTACAAAATCTACTCGAAACGTAAAATATAAACATTTCATTACTATAACAAGAATTTGAAAAGTTTATCTATAGTACAAAAATAGGATTCTTCACTATTTTAAATAGGTTTTTGTTTTTAAATATAATTTCGTTAACAACCATATTTTCTTTGCGGTGATATGGCACCGTGAAAACTACAATCAGTCGGAGTGCACTTCAAAATTGGCTTTAACACGTAAGGGTTTTTGTACAATAAGGGCACAACATTTATAAAACGCTTAAATTTTCACGTTTCCATGGATGGAGGCAAAAGCTAATTTTACCTGCGCGTATTCTGAAAATATTGGCTGTTTTATAACATTTAATTTTGATAATTGAGTGAATTGTGGTGAGAATAACTTTTTACTTGATTAGCAAATTTTTGAAAATTCTAGCTTTCATAAAAAAAGTTCCTACGAGCGTTTCCAAACTCCCTCCATAGAAACATTGTGTGATTTTTATATTTTCTTTACTACGTTTTTTCAGTGAGCAATTAAAGAACTTTTGAAAAGTCCTGTTCGGATCCAGTGCAGGAAAACTATACACACTCATATGTTTGATGGGTTTGCGTTTGAGATGGCACTCTAATGGCAAAACAGTTGTTCAATGCCGACAAATTATGGCACAGACACTTCATTAATTGAATTGAAACAAATAATTACATTGCTAGGATAGGAGAAAGTGGTTTCGTTAGGCAAGAAAGCATATATGTGAATGATCGAATTAGAGTAGTTATTGGCACTTTGACAATTTCGTAGACCCAGAGGTCAAATCGTGAGTTCTCCCTGAATTAATTTGACAATTTTCCGCACCATGATTGTACCCTTAGACGCCTACTTGGTAAAGCTGATTGAGAGTCCAGCTGTTCATCTATTAGAATAATGCGAGATCATTTTTTAGCATCAGTCACCATCCACTTCTACACTTTGATCACTGCTCTCCATCAAACTGCACCTGGATTCGTCTTCCTCAGTTGTCAACAACGGCATGCTGGCACTCGTTGTCAAACTTTCACTTGTTTCCGCGTCCAGAGGCAATAATGATATTGTATTGCACACTCTTGTCGACAAGTTGATATCTCGTTCCCCGTCCATTGGCAACAATGTAAAGCTCTCAGCTACTGATTGTCCAGACGCCATGGACTCGCTCAGCGACAGTAACGTGGGCGTGTCCGGCACAGAACTGGAATCGTCGCGCGTTTCCATTGGCGAATGATCAATTGTGATGTTGAGACTTTCGCGACATTCAGCTTCTACGGACGTTCGACTGGAGAGCATCGGTTCATTTGGAATATCGTCTATTTGAATAAAAACTATCTTGGGAGTTTCGCCAGTTGTGCTACTCTCGCCAACACTGGATAGATCACAGTCGTCTTGAATCAAAATAAAACAATCGCCGACCGGGACCTGAAACAACCGAAATTCTTGTTAGATATTGTGCTACACAAGAATTATTTTTGGATCTCGTTCAATCCACATTTCTCATCAGACCATTTTTGTAAACTATGGAAATTGTTGTTACAAACAAGGCGCGAGTGAAGTTGAAAAGTTCTGGGTTAAAATTCATTCAGAAGTTCAATTTACATATGCAAATCGTTTAGATCATTACAAAACAAAGCACACAAGTAACAATGTCACAAACCTATTAAACAAAATAAATAAACAAAATTTTTGATTCAAGTTTCGGAACAGACCGGGCAATTAACTATTGACCAAATTTTTCAAGACTCCAAAAAACGTAATTTTTACTAAAAAGCAACTAGCGTAGAAAACATAATTTTTTAAATCATTGGGAAATGTTTTCAGTCGGTTTTTAGGGAGTAGGTCCCTAATTTTAATATGTCGTCGTCGTCAATTGACTCGTTTTCTGCAGACAGACGAATAAAATACATCATAATGAGTACTTAGTAAAAAATAAATTCCGCGTTAACAACATTACATTGCCATTCGTCGATGCTCTCAAAATCTTCAGAACTTTTTCTGGTAGTTTAATAGTAGAGATATTTTTTAAGCAATTTTAAAATGTTAKAATTTGATAACGAAAATAAAAAAGTACATACCCGATCGGCGCTAGGCAAATCTCACAGAGGCGCGTGACTCACTCGGTCCATCGCATTGACCTCCTCACTAGTGACGGTATGTGAAGAGGACATTTGATGAGGGTGCATATGGTGATGGTGATGGTGGTGCGCATGATGGTGCGAGGTGGGAGAAGGGACGTGTGATGGGGTGGTGGGGGCGGAAGTGGTGTTGTTTGTCGGTGTGGACGAAGTGCTCGACGAGGAGAGTTTCGACTCCTTCTTCATGCGCTGCTTGAGGTGAACCTGAAACAAACGAGACTGACATTTAAAACCGATGAATCCACGCCGATTTCGTTTGTTGATTAAATTAAGGCCACGACAACAACACTTCTCTATTTACTTGCACGGTTTTAATTAATTTCCTGCGCTGCCGACCAGTAGGTTGAAATGTTGTGTTGCTGTTCGCGTGAAATGCCCGTAATTAGTATCTGTCAATATATTCCAGATAATGAACATCTATTAGTCGTAATAAATATTTATTAAAAACGGCATCTATAATGGTTTTTCAGGTGGCAGTTTCAATTAGAATTTGCCGTTCTGTTTATGCAAAATATCCACAGGACATCGATTAGGTGACGGTCCATCTCTTCCTGTGAGAACCGTTCAATCACACACAACATTTGGAAAAGCGGCCAAGAAGCCGATAACGATATCATAACGATCAAACGAAGGAATGGATTTTCTATCCAATAAAACTCCAACAGTTAAAAGTACACGCAAAAGCAAGTGCAAACTATGATCTGAGAGATTTGTACGTTCTTTAGACACTTTTTTAACTCATTTATTTATATTGTTTGCGCGATTTAGATAGCTATTATTTTCTGATGCGATCCATTCATCAAGCCAGTAGAACGGGCTGCTCAACATTAATAGCAATAATTAGTTGCCGTTTTATCGTAAAATAATATTTTTCAATCTTTTATTTCAGAATGTTTATATGCCTGCAACGACCATCAAAAAGTCGATTTAAATATTTATATAAGTATGAAATTTAAATTTGACTGGACTTCGATCGAAATAGCTCTTGTGGCTGCCAAATTTTTAAATACTCGATATTGCAGACATTTATTTTTCGTCTACTTTGTAGCCAATTTAATTACCAATATAACAAGTGAATGATTCATTTGACATTCTGCAAATATCAAGGATTACCTGATATTTTTGAAATGCAGAGTCTGTGTGTTACATGTCGATTGTTGCCAATTTTTGCTTGGACTGACCACTTCACAATCCAAGCTTATACAAAAAATGATGAGACGCTATTGACATTGCTAAAGATGGTAGTGGTGAAATTTTTCCACTGCTTCTCGATGAAGCAGAAGAAAAGTACTTTTTGAAAAGGCAGTTTGATCCATCTTATGAAAAACATAGGACACACCAAAGAACAAAACAATATCCTAAAGAATTTGTCGTTTGACAAACAACGGTTCCGAACAAAGAGCAAAAACAGAAGTTGATACTGCAGAAGATATTGTGAGCGAATCTAAAAACAAAATGAATCTTTTAAATGTTGTAAATATCTTCCAGTTTACACTAATCAAACAAAAAGTAAAATGCGCACTTTAGATAATGCAAATGAACGTACTGCTTAGAACAGCTAGGAAACAGTAATAAGTTGCTCACTAGATGGTCAGGCCCTCACATTTGCACTTAACTAGATCCAATCAAAAGAGATGAATTTGAATGAGTGAAAAGTGGACGAAAAGAGCATTTTTGGAAAAAATTACGACTAACAAACCTAGTTGATAAAAGGAATCCGTCTAAGCAGAACATATTGTTAACCGCGAAAAGTGAGGGCCTGATCACCTACAGTGAATGAAGTTCTACGACTACGTTTGTAATTTTTCAAAGACACCTCTCATCATCTCACTGTTTCAGTAAACCTGCACCTCCAGCAGGTAAAGTTACGACTAAAAAATATGCTTCCAAGACACCGATAGAACTACTTTCTAGAATATAACAAAATTTTATGTCCTGTGGATAGTATTGTAATTAAACGTGACCTCGATCATTTGCAATTGTATCATCGACTACTTACTTTTGCATGCCTCTTCTTCTCGTCACTCCTGGCGAACTTTCGTCCACAAACGTCACACGAAAACGGTTTTTCCCCGGTATGAGTCCTGATGTGCGTCGTCAAATGATCAGATCGTGAAAAACTGCGCATACAAATCCGGCACTGGAACGGTTTTTGGCCGGTGTGGATTCGAATGTGTCTCGTTAATTCGTCAGATCTGGAAAACCGGCGGTCGCAATTTTCCACCGGACATGCGTACGGTCGCTCATGCACTGGCGTTTTACTCGGCCGATTTGGATACTTTCGGGGCTTAACCGGGACGAGTTTTAACGGAACCGGGCTCTGCTGGTAGACTTGCGAGAGAATCTCGTGCCCCTTTGAAGTTGAGGGGTTGTATTCGGCGAGTTGCACTGGACCGTATGGTGATGAGCTCTGCTGGATTTCCGCTCCACATGAAGCAGAAAATGGTTCTTGTTTGGGCACTAGTGAGCTGGGGCCAGGCACCATGGTTCCTTGAGGGGAATACTCTTGAGTCTCCCATTGATACTTTGCCGATGGAGCCACTATGGGCTGTCCCACCCTGGAATACACCAGATCTGTTTGCTGCATATCCAGCTGAAGTGTCGTGGTCGCACTGGAGCAACTGGGGTAACTTGGAGGTTGTTTCAGAGCTAAATTCGAAGTGCAATCCATGCTGAGCATTAGCTGCTCTGTGCCTCTATCGTCGTACTGAGTTCCGGCTGGGGAAGGCGTGGCACTGGAGTACTGCTGAGGACTCTGACTCGTTTGACTCGCAGTTCCTTGCAAAAAGCCGAACATTGATGGATACATGGGTTTGTCCCCACTGGACAATAACCACTGCCCCACCGCTGAGGGACTGTGCCCCAAGTTCTGCTGCCCCATGCTCAAAGGACTTCCCTGGTTTTGCATCTGGATGTTCCCTTGCAGGCCCGGGCTGCCCGCACTGGTATACACAGATCTATGCGGCTGCATCTTTCCCATGTTGTTGTTATTGGCAGAGGGATGGTGCGGGTACATGTTGCTCAAGCTGCTCTGATTGGTGCTCTCTTCTTTTGGGCTCAGTGCAGAGTCCTGTGGGGTGGCCCTACCGGCCAGGTGAGAGCCGGTGGGTGATTGATGAGGGGAGGCCTGATGTTGACTATGTTGTTCGATTGAAAGCTCTTCGGGATCGAGAGAACCTGCAGCAAAAGATAATTTGTAGATTCGGCAATTGTATAAAAAATTATTGACATTGTTTTAACGATGTTATCGAATAGACAAATTAAAAATTGGCAGCATTCTTTTCCCTTCCCTACGGGAAAATACATGTTTGCCTAATTTATGCTTGCAATTTTTGCGAAGATCGCAGCTTCTGTGTGGCCGATTTTAGTTTACTTTTTTATCTACTCCCTACCTACCCCCAGACAACACCTCCACAGGAATTTTGTTTTGAACTTGGGTTAAGTACCTATATCGGAAGTTCCACATCGGCAGGTTCATTAAACAAAATGTTCGACGCGTACAACTTACGGTACGATTGTTAAATCAGCAGTGTAGGTAGTTATTTTCAAACAATAACCATATGCAGGATTATATAAAATATGCATTAAAACACGAAATCAGTCGTTAAACTTTATTAGCAATTAAACTTTTTACGGGAATTGTATGAAGTATGTGCAATAAATATGGGCATTTTTGCGCGAACGTTTAATTGGACGGGGGGCAATTTTACGCTTTAAATACCAGTGTAATTGATCTGTCATTCATCTTCGTCGCATTAAAATGCAAGCAGCTATTCTACCGTCAAGTGTTGCTTTGCCCCGGTTATTTCATGATTAATATACACAGTTCGGACTCATCTCCACTGAGCACCACAGTTTCAACATTAATCGGGGCCTGTTTATTCAGAATGATCGAGAGCATTTTTATTCAATGAAAAGCAAATAGTTCAACGGCGAAGGGTCAACAAGTCTAAAGTTGTGTTGGCGGAAGCGTCGTCGGATCGATCTTCAATTATTTCGGATGCCTTCGAGCGCGGAATGTTCGCCCACGAACCTAAAACAGATGTTGGCACTTGTTGCCATCATTTTGTAACACGGAACATGAAAATCGCTTTATTGAAACAGTGAAACATTCTCTAAGGGCTTTCTAAATCTACTCGAATTTGGCATTTGAAGAGTTTTTCAAATGCACATCCGAGCCCACAATTAAATTCTTCTTCGAATCCTTTATGTTAGTTTGTTTGTCTTTCAGCGCCAGATAGTTCATTTGTCTTCATTCACATGAAATACTTCTGGTATTATCTAGCTGTTGTTTTCAGTGCCCATCTTTGCTTCATTTGCTCGCTGATGTCGTCCAATCAATGCGCCATAAATGCTTTGGAACGTCGTAAAAATTACTCTGTCGCCTTTTTTTCAGTGTATTTTAGTTTTCGTTTATATTTGCTTCTCATGAACTTTCCCGCTTGCGTGTCTGTTCACAAATATTCTTGTGATACAGTTTTAATCGTGAAATACTAATTTACTGTTCCTATAATTTTTTGTCAATTTTTTATTAGGGTTTACGATTTGAATGAAATGAAAATTTGAACGACTTGAAACGTGGTTTTCAAACATTTCCTTCCTTTTAGTTAGGAGTCATGATCCCAAGTTCAAAGTCAAATGTTTTTGCTGAAAGTCAAAATGTTGGCATCCAAGTCGCTGTTTCGTGTTCAAAGTCGAAAGTTCTAATTAATGGTGGAAATACTGTGTAAAAGTAAAGTTATAAGCAAATAGGGTTCGATAGTTTTTTCCTTTTACTGTGTTCTAAATTTTGAAAATCTGTATTGTATGCAATAAGTTTACCAAATTAATAAAGAAAATTACTTGCTTCTTAGGAGGCATAAGCAAAGAATTTGGCTCTCGGCTCATGTGTTGATGAACAGGACTAAAGTATTGAAACTTATGTTGGTTTAGCTGAAATTGCACCAATTTATTGGGATAATCGATAACCAATGCCATAAAAATCGGGGAAAACTAAGTGTAATGCCGGCTTGAGTTCGCTATTTGCTTTACGAGTTCAAGCGCAATCTCAAAAGCGCCAACATTGCGTTTGCCTCGCATTACTGATTACGCCATCTGTTTTAAGGGGAGCTTTCGATGTGGAGCGATTTATTCGCAGCTTTACTGCCACTTTATTGACCAAAACGCTATACCTATGTGTAACTAAAAAAGGGACTCGGTGAGCACGAATCGACAATTTTTGGTCCTTCGAGCCGGATTTAAAAGAGTGAAGTTCTCCGGATGGCTTCCCTAGGCAAATGTCAACATTTTTCTAACAGCATATCATACATGTGCTGAATAATTGGGCTGTTTTTGTACATTCCCAGAGGCTGATGACTCTTAACTGACCGACAAGTTTTGGATTATTTTTAAACTAATCCGATTAAAAATAACAACGTGGTTAATGGACAGTCTTCGATTTTTCCATCGTGTTGAAGCCCTGGCTTGCGGGCATCGATTTCCTCGCATGTGCGCGAGTCTACGACCTCAACGAACATTTGATGGCAGAGGCCTTGAAGTTGTGGAAAGTCCGGGCAAAACGGCTCTAACAGCAGACGTCCCTGTGACGTCAATCTGCTGGAAACGCGTCAACGATTTAGAGCATGTATTTTTAGATCCAATGTTTTCCGAACGTGCCCATAGAGCTCGATGAAGAAAATCGCTTGATTGTTATAGAACTAACCGACTTCTGCTGGTCTTAATTTAGAATATTTCGCATCAGTCCCAAGAACACCGAATCGAAGAACTAGTGGAAGTGTCAATTTTCCTGCAACATTCCTTCTTTAAACACAGACAAACACCAAAAGCAACATAGTTCCATAATTAAACTTAAGGACAAATTCAAGTGTCAAATTCTATACAGTTGGTATGTTTCGAAAATAATAGCTCTGCAGTTGAGCAAAGTTAAAACTCGTTAAAAGTTCCCCAAGTGGAAACTGTTAATTCGGGGAAACGAAGCTACAAAGCCCTGTCGTAACACGGGTTATAAAGTCGAGGCCGATCATTAGGACCTGTTACTGAATGGTGTGCTGGTGAATGAATCGAAATTTCATTCATTCACTCCATCAGTTTACTATCAAACCTACGACAAAGTATATCGTAGGGTCGCCCACATAGAATTTTGTTTGCTTTATGCAGGAGCCAGAGCGTAGGTATCCCATAACAATAAACGTTTTGCTGCAATGCGCTCGATATTTCTGGATGAGGCGCATCGGAATGCCATTGGATAATAGTTGCTTTTTGGTCATTTACCTTCAGCCTCGCTCGAATTAAAATCTTAATTGGGCTCTTTTTCCAGCCAGACAGCCCTTACAAGATCAATAAAATCTGGGTAGAATGAGGGTGAATGGATGAATGGATGGTTCTACCTTGAATGAAACAACGTATCGATTTTGTCTCCTGGAAACGCCTTTTATAGTCCGGGAAATTTGGCTCAGTTTTATGGGACTAATCAGGTGGCTATTTTTAGTAATCGTTTATAGTTTCACAGGTTGACCTGTGGATGCGCTATGGAGAAGTGGTTTCTGCGCTTAACTTTGATCATGCTACAAATCAATGTCTTAAATTAGACTCTCCTTTATTATGTAACCTTTTGTAAGAGCAAAAATTGGTCTCTTTTGATTTATGATTTATGAAAATGAATCTCAAAGCACTGGTTTAAATACTCGTAATGGTCTGAACTCATCACGTGATTCTGAAAAAATTAACGCGAAAATGTATAGCCTCTTGGAAGGGAATTCCTGTTTAAATCACCCTGTTACTATTACTATTACTTATTTCTAACTTTAACTGCGATAAAATTGACGCCGTTTAGCGTTATTGAAATTTATGAAAAAATAGCAGATGTTTACATCACATTTTTTTAAATTCAATGGAAAATTTGCATATTTTGTATGTATGTTACATTGGCCATACTTGTTCTTGCGTCGTTATGAAAAGCAGTTTATTGGAAAAAATTGCAAGCTGTTTGCGACTTTTTCGGTTATTGAAATTATAGTACTGTTTTTCATTAGGTCCTTTTTGTTTTGATTTTTAATTTTTATTTTCGTTTTTTTTCAATTGTTAATTTGCTCGCAAACGGTTCGATTCAGATAATACAGGGCATTAAAATTCCTATTTTAATTTCCAATTTAATCCATAATTTCTACAGTGTCAAATGGAATTTAGCAATAAGTTGGACTATTGAGTTTTTGGTGATGGCAAATTATAATTTGAACGTAATTTTAATGTATCTGCAAGAGTACGCCATGCATATTATTTTGTTTGGTTATTTTTTATCAAAACTTTTAAATACTCATTAAATAGTCACACAGTTGCTAGGCAGATTCTTTTTAGGGAAAAGAAATATTTTTTTGCTCCTAATTAGTAAGCCGGTTGGTGAAATATTGCCGATTTAAGCAATTAATAAACACTTGGACTCGTCTAAATGATCAGTAGTACCTACTTAGGATTTTCTAGTAACGATTTCCCATACTTAATAGATCATATTCCACTCAGTACAAGACAAGATTTGTGATTTACATTCATTACCGGATCCGAATTTCCTGAATGAACTTTTCCCAGGCAGGTGGATGGTTAGTGCAATGAATTTCCTTGGCTTGGCCAGGCCATAACCCTGATCTTAATTTCTTAGATTTTTACTTTAGAAGTCATTTGGCTTATAACGAAGAAATTGAATCGAAACCTTCAAAAAAATTAGGTCCTAGTCAACAGGTTAACATCATAAGGAACTAAGAAGGTATTTTATTTCGAATAATGCAATTGTATTTACATAAAAGAATAGGAAGAGGTATTGAGGTGGACATTTTGCTCAGTTACTTAATTAGTACCTACACAGAGAGAGTACTGTACTGTTGCGAAAACAGTACAGTACTGTTTTTTTGGTCGCTCTATCACATTATATTCTAATTTCATTAGGTTGCCTAACTAAATCAATTTTGTATAGGAGTTAAATAATGACACATTAGATGTTCTGAAATGAACAGATTCTGACGAGATCAGTAGGTACCTATATAAACGTAAAGTATATTTTTTGGAAAATTAGTCTAAATCTCAAGATTTTTTTTGAAGAAAAAACAATGAATTTGTCCATCTATGCAGAAATGCGCAGCACTGTTTTAGCGTTACAGTGCAGTGCAAAGCAATAAATACAAAGTTGCCTAAAAAATTTGGGGAAGCTTTTTATAGAAAACGTAAACGTTTTGAAAGGAGAAAATAAGAGCAAAATTGATGCTTAGTATTTATAGCCAAAATTTGGCACGGACGGCACTATTATTGCCAACTTTAGCTTGAAAAACTATCGAAATTGACAAATTTGTGCTACTTGGGTATTGCTGCTGTTGTTCCTTTTGAGCTTGTAAATAGTGTTCATTTAATTGTATTTTTCAAAAAATATCATTGTTCCTTGAGGGTCTTCCTGTATAACCAAATCATGTGTTGTTTCAGACGGACTTTGAGAGAAAAGCGGGGCCTTCCTCAACAGGGCCAAGAGCTGAATTTCTGGTGAGTGCAAGTTTTGCTTAATTGGCTGTTTTCCATTGCGCAAAAATCGATGAACTTTAGTGAGGGCAAGTGCCAAAAATTCTTGCCCAAACCGTCGCATAACGTTCTTTATCTGCCGTTTATATGGCGCAATTTTCGCACTAAAACCTTCAATGCAGCGCTTGTATCGATTTCGCTAATCAACAAGTTGAACCTTTACCTCGACTCTGCACTTGACATTTATTTGAGCTCCCCCACAGTAAACCGCCGAGCATATTCCATGATATAGTAACAACTTCATGAATGAACTATGCGATGTGATGAATGAGGGCCGCTCTTCTATCGATTTCCTGCTGGCAAATGCCAGGATTCGCCAAGGTCCTGCCAGTGCATTGAATCGATACGTTTGAGCACCCCGTCGCCAATTTTGAGGTGGTAAATTTAACGGCGCATCGTCATTTAAGTGCATACTTTGAAATTTTCGAACTTTTACAGCGAATCTCAGCAGTTGGCCCGCACTAGATGAACAGGTGCATGCGGATGGTTCAGGCATTTCGACCCAAGTATATAAATACTTCGCACTTAGTGTCAGATTGGCGGCCTGCTGCCAGCAACGAAAATACTGCGTAACTTGTGCTGGTTAATTTTAGAGATCGAGTCAGCCGGTAGCTACAGTGTTTTGTCTGGACGTAGACGTTCCAATTTCAGTTTCTGGAAAATATGCCGTACATCCTTTCGGCTGAACAATGCGGTTTTAGACCTGTTGTTATTCGAGTTTCTGCACGAAGCAGAAAAATCAATTTGCCGAATTATTTTATAAGCTGGGTGGATGGTGTCCTCGGTACCTACTAACGGCTCAAAATAAGTAGTTGAAATAGCCGCAATTGGTAAAAGGTGCGGATCATTAGACGCAGCAATTGCAAATATATCTCAGAAACTTGAAATGGTCACTGCATGAATTTGTTCGTAATTTCTTGACATTGTTTTGGGTGCTCTATTCCTAATGTGAAGCGGTTCTCTTGCTGAAGAAAGTGTCGTTTTTCAATGCAGTTATATTTCTTTTTTCATTGGCTTCCAGTCGTTCTTGTAAGGATCACCTGCTTAAGTACATCAATATCTCAGCATCGATACAGTAGTTAACCATTACAGACATACAATATAACTTTCTTTGGAAATGTTTTTATTTGCATTCAAGGGCAAACACTTTCCCTAATCTGCATAAACTGAGTAGAAATCACTCCTCATTTAAACTTGCTGAGCTTTGACCTGGCTGGGCAGAAGCTTTTCTTTTATCAACGCTATTAGGTAGTAATCTAATGAAGTTGTGACCTTTCCCAAGACTGAACCGAAAAGGCAATCAGATATCTGAACCGCGTTTAATCGAGCAGACAAATATAGGTGAAACTATTCAATTACAGCGACCAACTGTGCATGAAACCGAACTTTAATGGGCGGTTAATAGAGCTGAAGCTAATAGGTCTGGTGCCTAAAGCTCCGATAGAAATCGATTGACGTATCAGTTTCTTGATCATATCGGCTTTCAGTTCGAATCTGATTTTGATATGAAAAAAGATGAATATGAATATCGTGGACGATATTAAGGATAAACAAGAGCGATAATGAAAGAGAGAGGGAAAACCGACTCTTCGTCAACAACCCCAGCAAAAGCATCAGCGTCATCATCAACTCATACGTTGGCTGTGGGTACGTTTTGAAGTATTTTAAAATATTTGCAAGTTATTTTTCCTGAAGGTCCAGCAGCGATCCATGAAAGTTTAGCACTATTATTAGACGGTTTATTGGAACGGTTGCAAGGACTAACCTGTGATGGGTGGAGGTTCAATCACCGTGCTGGGACCAAAAAAGCTCGGCGCGTCCCCAGCAGTGGTGACTGGAGTGTTCAAGTCGCCAGGGGTTCCCTCGATCCCGATGGTTTCGCCTTCGGAGGTGCAAACGGAGGCGGGGGTCGGGCTGCCCCCCGAACTGGCCCCTGAACCCCCCTTGTAGAGACAAGTGTCAAAGCTCAGAACGTTAAAATGATGAGCGGCGGCCGCAGCTGTTTCCGTCAACAGAAAAGCCGATGATACATGGGGATGGTGATGGTGATGCTGATGGCTGGACAACGTGTCCAAAGTGTCCATTATCATTTTGTCACTGGGGTTTTGATCTTCCGGCTCCACAATATAAGGGTTTATCCAGTCACTGAACTATGGCACTAGATCGATAAGTCGCGAATTGTTCGTCTAGTTGAGATTGTGGCGCGAATTGCAAAACAAGGACAATGTGTTACGTGGGCTGGCGGAATCCATTTTGATGGCGCGAAAAAACTTGTACACAAACGCGTTCTATAAAAAGATAAAAATCGCGCTCAAAGTGAAGACGTTTCGTTCAATTCAGCCTCCTCACTCTACCGAAGTCTCTTGGTGACTACACGGCGCGACGCGTTTGACCACTTTTATGAATGAACCGGCTGTGCCATATTTGGCCGGCCAATCGTTGGGCGCCAATAACAGCGGCACCTCCCCTCTACCCCTACCATTTACTTTGGCTTGATGACGTCATTCGAACGGCGCTGGCGCCGCGAACAGGTTATACCGGGGCGCGCGCTAAGTTCGTGCTTAGGGGTGTTGTGGCGCGTGCCGCTTCCTTACAATGTTGCCGATTTTATTCGATGCCTGAATGTTTTCAAGGGGGTTCACCCGCTTAATTACTGTTGTTGAATCCGAATCAGTTATGCCTCTAAATCTGAGTTGGACGAGTTTAAGAGCGAAATATTAATCCCAATCTTTTACTTGTTAAATTACAATAGCTGGAATACCAATTTAAATTATGTTGTTTGCACCAACATTTAAAGCAGCATATAAAGTGATATAGTGAATCCCAATTTGGATTTCGGAAGAGAAGCTATCTTTAGTCTACAAGTTCTTATCCAACGATATAGTGATGTCAACAAAAAAGTATATTCTTGCTTTATCGACTTTGCCAAAGCCTTTCACAGCGTAGACCATGAGCTATTACTAAAGATCATCGAAAATACCGGCATCGATAATAAAGATATCCGCATAATAGCAAACATGTATTGGGGACAAACCGCTAAGAAAAAGCTGAACAACCAGTATTCTGACAACATAGAAATAAAAAAAGGAGTGAGGCAAGGCTGCATCCTGTCTCCGCTCCTCTTCAATATATACTCGGCAAACGTATTTGGAAAAGCGTTGGAGGAGGCAACAGAGGGTATACAGATTAACGGAGAGTGGATGAACAATGTGCGATATGCTGATGATACAGTCATACTAGCCAAAAACATAGACGAATTGCAGCGCGTCATGGAAAGAATAAGTCTCGTGGACTGACCACATAACTAATAAAGAGGTGCTGCAGCGAATTGGGAAAGAGAGAGAAATTACACTCACAGTTAAAAAGAGGAAACTGGAATACATCGGACACATAATGAGACATCAAAAATATCGTCTACTCCAGTTAATACCTCAAGGAAGGATCAACAGTAAAAGAGGACCAGGAAGGAGAAGACACTCATGGCTACAAAATCTACGCCAGTGGTTTGGACTTACATCTATACAGCTATTTAGAAATGCCGTCAATAAAATTAAAATTGCCATGTTGATAGCCAACGTCCGCGACGGATAAGGCACGCTAAGAAGAAGAAGATATAAAGTGAACATTTCTGGAACACAGGACTGTGGATTTTACTGGTCGAGTGGTTTGGCCACTGCGATGTCCCGATTTGGGTTCGTGGATTTTTTTTAGATAGTAAACAGCTTTTTTAGAAGAAATAAGGTTTGTCTTTTCCTCTCATAAGTGGTTCTTGGTAAACCTTATGCTTGATGACACCCCATAAATGAAAATCTAATGGCAAAATATCAGGAGAACGAGGGGGCCACAGTCCAAAAGGGCCAACATGTTTGGGCCCATCTTTCTTAACGTGAAGCATCAATGCATTCTTAACGTGAAGCATCACCCCGGACCAACCGAGAGTGGAGAACAAATGCACCGTCTAGTTGGTGGATCATTTCTTGTCGCACTGTGAGAGGCAGATCTTCGACAATATCCCCTAATTCATCGTTTAAAAAAATTAAGCAATCGCTCAGCATTTAATGTGGCGTGGAAGCAAAACGAACCAATTATTTGGTCGTCTAAAATCGCGCACCACAGCAAAGTTAATATCTACTGTTTCTAGATTTTTTTCGATCCCAGTGAGGATTTTCTGTAGGCCAGTAACTGCAGTTTTGAAAAAAGATACAATCTTATTGGCAGTGAACGTAGTCTGATTCGCAAACATATATTTCTTAAAAATTCTATTACTTAGTAAAATAATTTCCTTGGGCCCAAAAGCAATATTATAAGCGATTCAACTCATCACCTTCTCTCATTCCGTGCAGATATTTGGGTGTAATTAAGCCTTTCAAAACTGAACCTTCTCATCTGAAATTAGAAATTAGTACTCTAAACAATGACCGTGCTTGCTACCTCTGCATCGAATATGCAAACCGTACCTCCAAAAATAAATAAAACACGAGAGTGATTTCATGGTCGGACAGTGAGACACACTGTAGGTTCTTGCAAATATCACATTTGTTTGTGAGAGTTATTTCATTTTTATATTAAAGTCCGTATTACCTAAATGCTCTCAGACTAAACCGCTGAAAGATTTTTAATCACCCTGTATAGGAACATCAATCAACTGGCCAACTTAGTTGCTCTATTTTCACAATTAATTATTAAAATAAAGCTACTTATAACATTTGAGAAATGAAATTAAAATATCCAAACAATTCATTAAAGTGCCGCTAAAACCTTTGAAAAGATTTTAGCATTCAATTTTTTTCGCAAACAATTTGTTTTTCTTGTCAATCAGTTATACCTCCTCCTTTAAAATTAAACAGCAAACAGACTTACTTGTTCTCATCTACGAAAAGAGTGGCACCGTATAGGAATTCTTAAAATGTTTGTCCCATCTGTGTGTTATAAGCGACGTGTTCGATTTTAGGAGACACCTGTG